TTTTTGATTCTCCAGAAGAACTGATTTATTTTACTTCTCTAGAATCTTGAATTTGGGATCTGAATCAGTGTACAAATAATGAATGAGGCCTGTTTGAATGGCTTTTGTGATTTCACGAAAGCTGATCTACATTCCGAACTCGGTAGTAGCATCCAAACTTTCGATTGGTCAGTGATTTGAGATTGTTTAAAGTAGACAGAACATTAACCATAGACGAGTATTGATATCCATACCTGGGAAATATGATGGTTACTATTAAAGTTTTCTCGGGTAATCCTCAATCTTAATGATGAGATACAGACAGTATATAAAATAACTTTTATTGAAACAATGGTAGCAAAGTTTCGTAACGTAAATCCATCCTATACTCAGTTTAATTTCAAGAATATAATAGTCAAGATCATTGTGTAAATAAACGTAAATCTCCCTATATCAAAACAGAATATGATTTGTCAGTTATTTAATTGACGTGATTAGAACAGAGAGTTTTCTACGTGATCAAGCAACCAGTGAATAAGTGAAAAGACGGCATCTTGAAACAATAAAAATTGTTTGATTAGGCCAGAGATAATGAAAAAAAGCCTAACAACACCACGATGGAATAGTTATGAATATCAGTTGCTAGTTTATCAAAGGATCTTAAATGAATGATGACTTAATTCATTATGATTTTTATCATTATCAAAGCGGACTTTTATCACAGAACTGTCTGCGTCATTCATAGTGTTTTCAGAGTACAGTAATGGCATTGTGTACTGCACTTTTATAATTTTCATTTAAGATGTTATTTCCAAACCTATTTCTTACTATATTTGTCGTTTTCATCTGGCATGTCAGGTTTTTAACACTTCCATGCTCATAACATTCATTTGCGGAAAATTCTAAATGCTTAATAAAAATGAAGCTCTAACTACAGTTATCATTCGTTAGGCGGTAGAAAGTGAAGGACATAACATTTATTGAGCTTAATCTAATTTTCAAGGGTTTGAGTTATGCTGTTATTAATATTCCTGACTGAATTCTTATCAGTGTTAGTTGGTATTTTTACATCCTGTCAAAATTGCTTCGATATAGGAATTTTGGCGCAAGTTTCATAGAAGAAGTGGACTGTGGCTAGATATGGAATCTCGAATCGAAAGAAATGCGAATCCTAGATCCGATTGCCGGCCACAATTCATCTCTTCTACGAAGTTTGGGTTGAATTGAGAAACTATTAAGGCTAACCTAAACAACATCCGTCCTTACAAAAAAGACAAAATAATTTATCAAATTGGAGTGATTTATTATTTCGTTCAGCCAATCTAAGTATTGATCAATATACGCAGACACGAATATATTAAACGAAACCGAACTTATGTGTTTTGGAAGGTAACATTTGAACAATTCCTCTGTCTTGAATGTGACTTGTTCAGTTTGTAATGGAGATAAACAGTAATGTGGCTTTTAGGTCATCATAGTTTACAGAATGTATCAGCTTCTTGAGGGGAAATTATTTAAGTGAAATACTATGGTAGTTGTCTATTACAACACTGATTTTAGTTAAACTAGGCTAAAATAAAAAAAATACTTAAAATTTATTAAAGAACTTTTAATACGTCATGCGCTTTCATTCATCAACTTTCGGTCAATCAAATAAATCTTAGGAAGAAAAGATACTAAGCAATGAGCTTCTCTGGCGACGTAGGTAGTCAAAGATCTCCAGGCAACTTAAAAGATCTTAGTATTCAGGTATAGGGAAGAATCTAGTCAGTTATAAACTCATTGATCAGCTACTGAGCGATCACACAACCTGTTACTGACAATTCATATATGATAGATTAGACAAAAAAATCTCAAAGTGATATGATTGTGTCTTGATCAAATGGCCTCAATTTCCTTCCTTGATATAAGTATGGCTTCATGAATTCAACAGAAATTTGTCAAGAGTTTGTTTCATTTTACTATTCTCATGGCGATTAGTTTTTTTGCTTTGATGAAGAATTGGCAAATTGAAATAATCTTTATAAATCACTAAAATAAACAGTTTGCCGGTACGTATTAGTATCGAGATGGTACCTAAATGTTTTAGTGAGCAATACAGTTTCCTGACGTTGTTAGTAAATTAGTCACCAACCAAACGGCATTACATGATCTTCATGCTATATCGAGAGATGACAAATATAAGTCACTGTTTTTCAAATCAATCGTTTAAACATATCGTGTTACCTTTGAGAACTGAATGCCATAGGATAATCTAGTATTCCATCGTAGAAATAAAATTTCTAAGAGTTCTTACCTTGAATGAAACAAATATCTAATACATATTGTTTCCATGAATGAACTCAATCTTTAAGGATAACTATCTTCTAACTATTGTTTAACATCATTTTTAAGGTGTAGTTTAAAGTCCATATAATCTTTTAGAGTTTCACAAAATATTTCTTCCAAAAAAGTTAGTAGTCGTAATAACTCATATTTTTCTTGATACCACTTATACGTTTAGGAAACAAACGGCGTAAAAAGACGTGTTAATTGAACTAGTATCCTTTGAAGAATAAAATTGATTCATTATGAAACGACCTTTATAAAAAGTTATATGGCGTTTCAATTTTAGTATTGATGAGATTTACAGAATATTTGATATGTCATAATTAAATTTTAATTACATACAGGGTATATAACATTTTGAAATGGTAACTTCAATGACTATAATCTAGCGATGGAAAACTTATGTTTTCTACTGATTTTTTGTTATTAGTTCATTTTATTCAGGATAAAATAAACAATTTATGCTGAACAAAATGTTTTGATTTCCTTGATTTAATAAGTTATTAAAGCAAATGTGAAAAATAAGCTAATTAGACTGATCATCGTTTCGTGTTTAATGAGATCTTAACCAATAATTCCTGAATCAATAAAACTTTCATAAATTTTCTAATAGATCAAAGTAATTGTTTTAATTATTCAGCCATCATCACTGGTAGTATTGTCTTCATAAAGCTACCTTACTTAATAAAGTTTTACATTCTATTTTATATAAGGTCATATTATCTTTGGATCCAGTTTTGAAAGATATGAATTTTTGATAGTATTACTTTCTTTTTGGTGGAGTTTTGTTCTTTGAGCTAAATGCTTTGATCATGAAGCTTTCACCGTTCCTCTGAACGATATCATCAGCACAAACATCAAGTAGACTTCTACAATCAAACCATCTAGCTCAGAGAACAAAACATCACTAAAGTCATCCACCTGAGCTATAAATCTTCTGCACCATCTCAGTAATGCTTTATATTAATAAATGATATGAATACAAAGTTCTCATCTGTTCATTTTAATGGCATGGGTTTTTTTATCATCTGGTTTATCTTTCAAAATAGTTTCTATATGGATAACATTTGATTATCTATTTTATTGAATAACAAAGAAAAATATAATTTACGTCAAATGTATTATGGGTTATTTGTTAATAAATATTGAAATGAATTTATCCTAACGTTAATAATGATATCCAGGTTACAGTTTCGTAAAAAAAATTTCATTTTCAATTACATTTATGTAGACAAACAAAGAATAAATAAAAATGTCATTATGTAATAAAATATCGTTTCTATACTGTTTGGTAAATAAAGTTTATTACAAAGATTTGAATAAAAACAGTTTATTGAGGACTATTCAAAACTCAATTTATAAGTGGATTTAATCTCGTGTACAGTTATTACTTAACAACACCAATTGACTGACGACATCTTAGCTGTTTCGAAATCTCAATTCAGTACCTTAATTATATATATATATATATATATATATATATATATATATATATATATTTCCTATTTTTAAGTGTCGTTAATAATGAAGATTAAACTGGTAAATAGCATGAGTAAGTCAGGTACGTAGAAGTTATGAAGTCTGTCTCGATATGCTGTTATACGTTATTGGACTAAAACGCTTCATTAAAAACAATATGTAAACCAACTAACTAGAACAGTAAACAGAAATATGAAAATAATTTAATCAAACGAAATTGCTTACTGCAACCATTTACAGACAAGGTTATCAAAACAGGCTTATATAGCGCTCATGGAATAAATACACATAGTACGTGTACTTCAAGTATGACGTTCTAGATAAAATCTGTGCAAAACCCCAACATTGGACGTATTCCAAGTTAATATTTTTAGTAGTTTTTGTAGTTAACTATCTGATTCTGAGCTGACAGAATAAACATACAGCTCAGTTGGTTACATTTATTAGTGCTTCATTTTCTAAGCTGTGTGGTTTATTTACGAAGCTCGTTTTGTAGTTCTAACTAACATCTTCATCTGTGTTTCTAAACCGAAGTCTTTTATTTGCAGTTTGATGGAATCCAAATAAAATCCGTCATTTCTGGAATATCCATTCTTCAAATCAGAATTTTTAGTCAACTCTTTTAATCAGGAGTGATTAGACGCAACCAGTTTAAAATATTAATTGACGTTATATCTTGAGTTTCTTCTCACTAGCCAACTGGAATAGTTTGTAAACTTGAGAAAGCTGATCTCCCCTCCTAAATGAGAATCAGTTTTACACTTCAAAACAATCAGAAGAATTATCATCAACTTTATGAGATCACCATTTATTTTTTACAGAGTTTGACCTAGATTGATGATTACTTTTCTTAGATCAATGCTTTCTACCTGGTACCTTCAGCATAACAAACTGTTAAACAAATTTAAAAAACAGTTTATACAACTCAGCTTCAAAGTCTAGAAAATATAGAACTGATTGCTCTCTTATAACCGACTATAGTGAATCTAATGCATCTAAAATATACATTATGCCCTTCTAACTAATCAAAAAAGGTGAATTATTGACAAACAAATAACCTTATTTCTACACTTCGTTTCGAAAGTTAATCAATAGAGAAGCAAAAAGTTAATCATTACAATTAATAGAATTATTGGACGGCTAAGTCAAGGTCATCGAACGCTGACTGTGCTTGGCATTTAACATAACCGCGCTTGTCTTTTATTACTGAATATGGAGAGGGCATTTATACATCCCATATTAGTAACAGAAATTGGTAAATAAATCCACAACAATTTCTATAGCTCCATTCTCCATTTCAATTATTTCCCTGTTTGTTTGGCTATTTAATTGCGAGATCAGTTCAGTTCTATACAAGCCTACAATCTTTGATGTCAATAATTCCCCAATCCTAATGCCTAAATGCTGTATTGATTGGTTATTCAATGTCTTTTGGTAAATTCATGCATAGCAAGTATACAAATCTGTGCATGTGTGCATGCTTCTAAATGATAAATACCGTCTAACTAAGGAAGAAAGATCGATTCACCTAATCCCAAATTGTAAACAGTTAATTTAACACAGTAGATGCACAAACTAGTCGTACATACATATGTATAAAGATATAGAAAAAATAATCACACGTCAGAAACATTAAAAACACTTAGAAGCCAAAAAGGATTATTATTTAGAAATGACACTAAGAGGTTATACTGATTACTACCATTACTCAAATTATGCATCTGACGATGATGATGAAATCGAAGAATTTAAACGAAAAACGGAAGCAAATCGAAAAGCAAGAGAAAAAGCTCGACAAGAATTTGAACGTGACAGTAAGTCAACATGTTGACATGATATTTCCTTTGAAAATACTGTTACATTATTTTATTTGCCTAAAAGTTCATCGCGTATCAGTTGAATTTCTTAACATTGTTTTTTTATCTGTTCGATAAATTTCCATCTATAGTTAAGTGAATTTGAAAAAAAGATTTTGATTGAAATCATGAACCGATCTATGTTAGACTAACATTGAAAGCCTAGGAACATTGGACAGCCATTTTGTTTTGGCATGAGACTCGTCAAAAGCCCACATCCACGATCCCGCACATGAGGATTTTTCATTACCATTGGTAGGTAACTTCCCCACATTCGACACAGATTAGCTACACTGGCCACGGTTCATGATTTCAGTAAAATTCAACAAATATCCACAACCCCATGATGAAAAAATATATCGCTACAGTAATCCCAAGTATAATTGTGAAGAACTTTCAATAGACTAAATAAGTTTTGTCATCAACAGTAAGAATAAAATCCTACCTGAAATTTAAGAAAAATTGTTTATTGCTTAAATTTATCAACATTGGCGGATGAAACAGCGTGAATCTTTCTACTATTCAAATCAGAGACACTTTTAGTTAGAAAGAAATCAAATATTCTTGTAAGCATCTAGTATCATGGCATAAGATGTGGTCCCAAATACAACATTTATTTCATTCGTAGTTCAGAACAAATACTTCTGTCTACAAGAAACAACTTATTATTTTTAGCACGATAAACTGACGACTTTTTGTCTCAAAAAACCTTAATTATTGTGATTCAATTGTATAGGAAATCTGGGTATTCAATTGTGGAGACGGATTGATAATCGCTGGTTCCTAAATTCGGGGAAGAATATTCAACAACGGAACACCTTTCTCATTTATTCCTTAATCAACACCCTTTGATAGTAATTTTAGAAATACTTCTAGAAATTAAGTCGTTTTATTATGATTAGATAACGACTCTTTTATGAGTGACAAATAGTTTAATATGATTAAAACAGGTAAATTTTCTATACACCTTAACTGGAGTGCATTTAATGTTCTACGTATAAACTATTTGCTAAAAATTAAATCACCTTTACCTGTAAATTAACAGTGTAATAGTTTGATTATATGTTCTTTAGTTGGAGAAAAATGTTCACTTTCACGGTCCCTAAGATGAAGAACTTAGTTAAAAAGCTAACGTTGTCGTTATCAACAAATAATCGAAGGTTTTGTATTCTCAGCAAGTAGCTAGATTGTATATCCTAGAGATCTTATTTTTTTAGTGAATATTATTATTATTACCATGATGAAAAAATAGTATAGAAATCAATTCTGGATATGGTAACAAATAGTTAAACATATCAGTATAAAATTTCACTCTAATTAAAAGATACAATATCTTTACAGAAAGGAAATAATTTGACTGAATGTTCTCCGATCACATTTTACTAATAAGAAGGTTTCTTCTTCACTCGATAAATTTTATATGATACAATTTGTTGTTATTACTGTGAACTACTAATGAGTCCTAAAATATAACTGATCAGCTATCTCCTAATTTTCGAGGGGTTTCACTTAAGAGTGAAAGTATTTTCATTATTTCTGGAGTTTTGATGGCTTTGAAGTTGGGAATCTTATTAACCTATCATTAAAGCTCATGTTTATATGCTTATGAAACATATTAATGTCGATAGCTTTCAGTATTTTGGTAGATAGTTTGACGAGTCTTTAGATAAAAAAACATTTTGTTCAAGTAAGTCTTCCAGTTGGCCTATTTATTAAAATGATAATTAGATTATCTGAATAAAATGAGCACAAATATTGACCTTTTCATTTCTGCAAACGTACTTCACCTCTGTCAAATAAGGTTTGTGTAATGTACTTGTCTAGTTTAGCTATCATGCTATTGAGATGAGGTGTATAATCATCTTGCAAACTGTTTGTTATTGCTTTTGATGTTAGTGTATAAGTATACATATCTGAGTGTAATTTTGCCATAACAACGTTTGCTTATCTAGAAATATCAACAGTTAATGAAGAACGTGCTATGGACACCAGATTATCTACCTTTAAATATGTATATTAAGGATTTTCATAAGTATTTAAGTAAATTATGCTTTTTGATATTTGCGTTTGGAGAAAAACTCATAATCATTTCTGTTTAGTATCCTCATATATTAATGTTCATAATACTTTAAATTCACTACATACCCGTAACATTCAAGAGAATCAGTCAGAAAATTAGTGCGAGTGCGAGTGCATCTATAGTAAACCCATTAAATTGTTTACCACATACTTGCTGTAATTTATACAAGTAACCCACAATGTAAAAGTATATATGAGTCTGATCGAAAGCATGTCAACACCTCCTTCTTTATTTATCCTCCTATTGGTTGTAAACACAGACAATAATTAACATCCTCACAACTGATTAACAATCATAAAATACATATAGATATTCCAATCTTTTGCTAACACATACCAGTGTGCTTGTGGATCTTACTAATTATTAACAATACACTATCCAAACAACTGATGTTCTGACTTTTGAATATTCTTAAGTAAATTCGTACTTCTAGTAGGAGAACTGGCTTTCTAAAATACACAGTTAACAGAACATTATACATTACAGTTAAATAGAGAGGAATTAACCATTACAAATTACAGTCTAAAATTTAAGTGATTTAAATATATGCAATTAAATGTGTGCGAAACTGTGATACGTTGCCTAATATTCATCACTTTTGACTAACTGATATATCAGTGAATGCAGTTTGATCGTGAACTTAAACAACTTGTTAATTTGATGAGTTCATTCATTGAGAAACTATAAACCACTTTTTTCATATTTTATTAGAACTATAAGTCAAGTGTATATGCAATTCTAGGGAAGAAATTTTTATTGCTCAAAGACTTACGACACTAACTGTTTAGACCATTGACCTGTATACAAATCTCAACAATTTTCCTTTACAAACAAGAAGAAATTTTTCTTGATACACGAAGTTCAAGTAGAAAATATAATCTAGTTACATGGAACTTGGAAGATTTCACCTAATATTCTAACTTGATCTTTAATTTCTCATATAATGTCCTAACTAGTTTAGCAAACCATCGAACGGTAAAACTACTTAAATCAACTTGCTGATTATTTACGTATCAAAGTATATCTTATTTTTTATCTTTTTAGTGGAAAAATCAACGGAATCAGATGCACGTCAGCCAGCACGCAAAGCTTCTGACGCAGTTCTCAATGAATTCGATGAAGCTAGACAACGAGCCTGGACAAGGGATCAACAAACTTTGGAATATATTGACGAAATATTAGTAAGTATGAAGAACCCTAGATTTAATTACTCGCTAAGAACCTTTTACCAAAAGATTTTCTTGAATTCCTAATAGAGATTAGTGATCTGTAAATTCAACTAAATATTGAGTTAAGATAATGGTTATTGACGAACGAACTGAGTTTGTTCAAGTTCCCGATAAATCAAAAAATCTTTTTTCTGAATAATAAATGTGTTCATCGCGTTACGGCTTGTAAGTGACTTTTGACATCGAAATTAGGAATGAACAGTCCATTCCTTACTCAATATTTAATACTATTAACGTAATAATAAGCTGTTATCCTGACCTATCGCCTGATTGGTTCAGAGAGAGGGAGAAGACGAGTCAACTGGAACACTACTCGATTTATTCCCGATTTCTATTTGAATCCAATTTAAATTAGTGCAAAAAGATACACGAAGGATATAGATGACTAGCATTACCACAACTCACAAACAATTAGAAAAACACAATTAATAACAGCACTGATACCATAATCTGCAGCATCTACAGCAACAGAAATTTCCAGTGAGGAATCGAAACATGTAAGTAGTAGATCCGACGTTATTAATGACTACGTCGAAAGATTTCTGACATTCAGTAAACCAGTTCAATTTTACATTATTCGATAATAAATGGTTCATGGGTGCTCGGAGGTGATGCAGTTGTGGTAAAACGTTTTTGTAATCAGTGATATGGCCAAGGAATGAACGAAGAGTTCAAACATTAGATGGAGGAGGCATATTTTGGATAGCTCGTACGTTTTCTAGATCTGGGTGTCATCCTCTTTTTTTCGAAAATAAACCAAGGTACTTTACCCAGTCCATGAAAAATGTACACATCTCTTCTTTGAGATAAAATCCATACTCAGATGCTTCGTTCTAAACTGCATCGAGTTGATTAAATAACTCAGACTTACTGGAACCTGTAGCAATTACAACATCCAAATAGACAGCAACTCCTAGCAAATTTACTAACATAGTGTCCATTTTCTGTTGAAAAATAGTTGTTGCTGGCTTTACAATAAAATGTAAACGTTCGTGTTGGTGAATGCCTCTGTATATGTTAATCGTCAATAGTGCTTGAAAGGTTGGATCAACCGTTATCTGGAGATATGCGTCGGCAAGATACCTCTATTCAGTTTGATAAATAAATCTTCTTGTAGGGGAAGCTAATCAGTGTGATCCTCTAGGGCATTATTCAGACCAGTGGAAAAGTTAGCACATATGCGGACAGACCCATTTTCCTTTCTTACAACTACGGTGAATAAATTACTGGCTAAATGGAACCAAGTGCTTTCAGTCTGTCAAGTTCTTGATCGACGACTGGCAAATAACTACGATATCTAAGTATAAACGTTTGTGTAAAATACACTTCCTCCTTTTGAGGACGCGTCATATAAATGATTGAAAGAAATTCCTTTTGTCTTATCCACTTTAATACAATGTCATTATTAAGACATAAATGGAAACATTGAGCTAAAAATGGAGTAATCTTAACGTTTTGGATGAATACTCCATTAAAGATTGTTAAAATCATATTCAATAATCGCCTGGTATAAACATAAATGTCTACATTTCTCTTCAACATTTAAGAATCGAAAATAAAATATTTAATTCATCTTTTTTCAATCAGTGATCTAAGACATGACATGCTCAATGAATTCCTTTAAGAGCTATTTTCTCAATTATATATTCGGAAGATGACTTAAGCACCTTTATTAATACCAACTTATGGATTAGATTTTTTTATAGACCAACAAAATTCTTTTTAAGCAAAGATGGATAGTGGCCAGCAGTGGAATCCAGGACGCACGTTTCGTCCTATTTGGGACTCGTCATCTGGATGTACCTGCATCGCAGAGTTGATTTTCAATCTGGGACTGTGAATTTCAACAAGTCTGTTTAATCTCACACTTGTCTTATTTTTCTTTAATTCTGGTAAATATCTTTAGCCATTAGAAATTCATTTACTTTAAATCTGTACTTTTTTTTCTGATTAGTTCTTTGAATAATATGTGATAGGGTTTCTTGAAATATTAAGTCAGTATTTAACGGACTACAATCTGTTTTACTTATTACTAAATCTTGGTTTATAATGAATTTAATAATGGACATTGCGTTATTTTTGACTGACTTTAGGTCAACTACTTTAAATTTTAACACAGTATGATAAATTTAATGTAGCGTTATTTTCTTCCAATAAACAGTACTTTAGTGTCAATCACACTATTCATTTATTAACGTTAAAATGATATTGTACTTGGAGATTTTTCAGGTTTTTTTGCTTCTATTGTAAATGAATTTCTCCAGTAAAGGCTTTTAAAATATTCTTTTGAAAGGTAATGACGATTTATTTTCCTAAGATATTTATCAGATATGTATCGGCATCGCATCTTGTACAAAGTATTTATATAGTATTCACATGACATTTTCGTTGTGAATCTTGTACAGAGCTAAATATGAACATGCTAATTGATAATTAAACAACTTGAAAGTAAGGCTTGATTTGTTTATTTAAATCAATTTAGCATTATTGAAATAATATGATCGATTATCATTATTTTTGTTGATCATCTATATGCAGGGTTTTAGAGTTTAACATTGCCAAAAAATAGCTATTTATAACCCCTTAGTTTTTATTCATCTTATCGCTAGTCTCAGGTTGTGGCGAAACCTAACTTCATATATTGTCAGAAACTATACCGTATACCAAACCAACTTCATTAACAGTGTAATATAATTCGACTAAGAAACTCATTTAAACATCACAATACCGTGTAATTATTATTAATTGGTTGGAAAAACCTTTATAACAATTTCCTTTATTTTGATATTTAGTTAGCCAAGTCTATCAGAAATTTGAATGAAGCACAGTTTAGTTATATTGTGGTGTGTGCTACTGATGTCGACAGATTTAGGTAGTATGAATCACCAGTTGGAAGTGGAATGCCTGGCGGAAAAATGTTGGGAAAATCGAAGAAAAGAGAACGAGAACAGTGAATGATTAGTGTAGAAATAAAAGAACAATAAAGTCTGAGACGATTGATTGACATTTTGCAAATGGAGTATTTACTGTATGGTTCTCAGATTTGACTAAGATATTCTGTAATGTTTGTCCCAACCTGTGTTCCCATTCACTACAATATGGCTAGCTAGAAAACTAAGTGTTTACGAATTCATAACCGATTTTTCAGGATAATGGAAATAATCTGATTTCTAATCAACTTTGAAAATACATTTAGTTCAAGAGTAAAAGCAACCTAGGAAGAATGTCTTAAGATTTAATTGATATTACATTACATATCGGTGCATAAAATTAAGGAGAACAATATAGGTCAACCACAGTACTCTCGGTTTATTTTATTACGGACTTTTGAAAATTTACAAATTTACTTCTGCAATTTTGTAACGTTTCATTTAAACATTTAGAGAAATGCTGAAAGACGACCTTTCTATGTACCTTCAACACAACTTAGTGTAAGAAGAGGTTCTTATAATAGATACAGTGATATTCGTAACGGTGATCAATCCGATAAATCAACTACGGATGAGCTTTTATCAAAAAGCCAAGTAAGTTAAATGATAGTTTTATGACTACTCTCAGAAACTATGAATTTAATATGTCCTAAATATTATTAATCATTATTTAACCCGATATGAATTGCTTGATAAAGCTTTACCAATGAGAAATGAAACCAAACTGACAATTACTCTATAAAGATAAACACAACACTTTTATTTTATCATAACTATAAGTTAATATCTCATCACGAAAGCCAAATGTTTGTAGCTCATTTGGATATCTGGGCGATTCTAGATTCACTTATTTGAATGGGTTAAGTTGATATGCCTCATTATCAGCTGCTTCGATAATATACAATTCATTTTACAATCCCTCTAGAATTGAGAAGTCAGTCCTTTCTTATAACCTGGATTGAGCCTAGTTGTCAAAATCCCTTTTATCTCCATAAACTTGTGAATCCTAACTGACTGCTGCTTTGTTAGGTTGGTCTCTGACAGCGCACGTAGTTGGTACTCAGAAGCTGTTAGTTAAGATCAATTCTAATATAATTAGTGGTTGCAGACGAAACTGAGTCCAAAAGAAGATCGTATAGAAAACGTTTTAAGAAACACATTGGAAATTTCGATGAATGCCATTTTTTAGAACTCTTAAGTTGATAGGTACTTCTTAATTTCCTTGCATGCTTAAATGAATTTTCAGTTGATTGATACTTCAGTTGTACAATATGCATTTAGTTCCCTGTGAAGGGAATTCTTTCTCAGAGAAGTGAATTAGGTATCAATATAATCCTTCAAATTGAAAAATTTATTTACATCTGGTAAAAGAATTTTTGATATATGAGTGTGTTATGAAAGGAACAACGTTGTTTTATTCTAGATTTAAGAATGAACATGATTATAATTCCTTTACATGGTCAACTAAACATACTTCTCAAATGATGTCTTAGCAACATACTACTTGTAAGTAGTATAAAGTCCATTTTTAAAAAAAGGTACAAGATGTAAGATATAAATCTCTATTTACGTCTATTCCTCAAGTTTGTATGACTGGTAGCTTGGATTCAACAAAAAAAAATTAAGGATTATAAAGAAGTTAAAAATGCAACTTTTCATTTATCCTGCTTATATCACACTTCAGATCTTAGATTAGACTTGTTTTTACTTTTTTCTCTAGTCTGTTTGTAATAACAACATTATTCTTCTGTATTTTATCAATGGATTGTTAAAAAAAATTTATATGAGATCGAAGAAACCATAGCTACAGAATTACATTCATTAATTATTAATGATAGTTTAAAAATCTTGGTAGGAATTTTTGAGTGAAAGACTACTTTCAAAAACCTCATTATCAAACTTGACACTGATGTGTTGTAACCATCGATTCACCACAAATACCTGAAACTCAAAAATCATCTCTATATCCAAAATACAAATAAGAATCATCGGAGATTGATTCAGATAGAATGTTTATTGACTATCGTAAATATCGATGTTAAATAAAAATACCTTCATTAATAGATACAATTTTACATACTTTGATGATAATTTAGTAAAAAAACACTATATTGAAATCTACACAAAATTTATTATAAAAACACATGAAGTTTACATTGAATTAGTATGAAGTATATTGACCTGAATAAATGTCACCTGAAAATTAAAACAAATGTCAAAATGTCATAAAATAAAATAAAGTTAACATTATGTTGGACAAAATGTTTCACTAATAGTAAATCTTATATGATACCAGTAAAATCTTACACTGAATTGAAAGAAACAATATCTTACCTTTTTTCTTATCATTATAACACAATAATTATGAACTTACAACTGTGAAGCATGGTAGTGAACATAATGAAAATAACTGTTTCTTCAAAGTTTCAAATATTTAAGAAAGTTGTAGATTACACAATGAAATCATGTGTACAGTCAGTTAGCTACAACGTAGGACCAAGCACATATATGTATCCGTTTAAGTTACCACACCTCATTAGCACACTAAGATGATCATCAAGCTCATAGAAGTAGCTACTTCAATAGTATTAATATATAAAAGGATAGAATTAGTTCGTAAAACGAAAGATATAAAATAATTATAATCTCACGGTCTAGAGGAAAACAAAGAGTATATACAGCTACTCCACTATGATCAATTTTGAGCCATATCACAATTTCAAACCATTAGACACGATAGTCGCTTGGATCACAACCAAGTAGTCTACATCTATCAACATAGCTCAGACCACAAGTTAGTGACTTTATGGATTGATGTCACGCCGTCCCTAACTTTCTTCCATCCGTCTCCAACACTAGTCGATATTGCATACCTTGGTAACCAGTGGTTTGGTATGCTCAATACGTGTCCTAATATATCATATACCTTAGATTTATTAAATGATATCTAACTTTTTATTTCTAAAAGCAATTCTACCGTTTGTTAATAAATATTCATTCAGCGCAGACGTAAAAATGTAAGTTACTGTAGAAAACAAAATTTTTAAAATAATTTTCATTATTAACATATTATCAATTATGTAGATTGAGTAGTTTTATTGATTTTTTTTCCTCTGCCTCTTGATACATTTTTTTAAATGTAAAGTTCCTTGAAATTGTCTTAACTGAAAAAAAGAGGGAATGTAAAAATCATATTAAATTGTTTATTTAAATAGTGAATCATTTCAATTAACTCAAAACAGTATCAAATTAATAAGCTTACTTTCTACAAGAGAAGAATTTTGAACTGAGACTTGTATAATCATAAATTTAAGAATATATATTCTTGTATATATTACCAAAATCTCTGAACAGAATTCTAATTGACAAAAGTAGTCTATTAACAACAAGCTAAACTATTTTGCTAAAACTAAGATTATTCATTATTGTAGAAAACATAGCTTTAACATAAACTATCATTTACTGATATAATTAAGTAGTGATTATATCATCTGGTAGACCATAGTCGAGTGAACAAACTATCTAGTCATATCTTCATATATAAACAATTTGTCTTAGTTAGTTTACATATTCTGAACTTTGTTATCTCTTTAAGCTGAAAAAAATCTTAGGTAAGAAACATAAGTCATAAAGTCATTTATTTCATTCCAATAAAACATTTAATCTTACTTTTTAAAAAAAACATTCTATAATACTATGAGATTAGTGACCTGCATTTCCTCGTAGTTAACTATAGTGATATAAATGTAAATTTGTTTAAGAACTTATACATTTAAGTCTTTCTATAGTATTCACTGCGAAGTATTCAAGAAGTGTATTTATCTAACTCAATTATAATTTAGTGATCGTTTAATAATTTATTTTTTAAGATCTAATTTGCTATAACACTTTAGCTTAACGTCACGTTAAAGCAAGGATAATGTTATCTAGATGAAGTGGGGTGGTAGATGATAGCCCGTAGACATTTGAAGGTACATGGTTTAAGTTTTATTACTAATATCAACACTGTGATGCAAAGAATCGTCAGACTGATTAATTCTAAATAGTATAAAATGCGAGTTCTACACATAATCCGAAAATACTCAAAATATATATAGTTTTTCCTAAGATTAAAAACTGAATGGAAATATGATGGAAAGCTCGTATCTCATTTTTATATCATCGTGTTCTAGGTTTCCAATAGGAAGTAATTATATCATCTTTCACTGAAGCTGAGAAGCCAGTGATAACAATCAATATGAAGTTATGGATGTTGTTAAATATCATTAAACTCATGAACCAATGTAAAATATACTACCATTGAAATCCTAGAAGCTTTGGACTCAGATTTATTAAACTTAGGCATAAACACCATTGAATACCGAATTAGTGGTCGAAAAGTTAAGCGTTAAAACATGAGACAGAAGGTCCTGGGTTCGATTCTGGCGTTCAGGGTCGTGGATACAGACTTCTGAGAAGTCTCATGCTAGAACAAAATAGTTGTCTAGTGTTTCCAGATTTTGGATTGATTCAGAATTTCAGTGAAAGGAAAGAATCAAATATTTTTTTCCAAGTTAATTAATCCAGTTTTAAATAAATAATATTCGACTTCAAAAAACTAGTTTAATCTACATATTTACCATGTAAATAAATGACACATTTTGACAAGCATTCAAAAGTTAGTGACAAATAGCCAGTTTGTCAAACCTTAATAGATTAATATATAATTATTGCACAAAATAACTTACTTATTTCATCAAAAGGGATCTAACATCCACTTTAATTATTTTGCTAGTTTTTCTCCTTAAAATAATTATATTTTTGGTCAAATCAGTAGTGTTATCAAACAAGCATATTACTGTCAGAAAGCTATTTGGAAAATTAACTTACGAAACTCAGTCGGCTACCTCCGACCACTCAACATTAAAACTTCGTAGACTAGATGTCCAGTTATTTGACGTACTATTTACATTGCTATCTGATTGGTACAATTAAATCGATACTAAGCACTAAGCAAATATGATAATGTCCACTTCATAATGATCATGGATATGAATTATCTTCAAATTTCTTTATTCTGTTATTGTTGTTATTGTCATTTATGTTAAAATTCGGTTTGCTTGAGGTATAGGTGAAGTAAGAAAATTCAAGTAAGTTTCCTTGAAATTACTAGGTAGGATAAACGTCTTCAATAAAAATTTCTTGAATTTCAAGTTTTCATAACCTTCATATTGATGTAGCCCAACCACAGAAGCAGCAATAAGCTTTTAGAATAAACATTATTAAAGGTTAGTAAAAGTAGATTACTAGTTCCGGCTTTATTTCCTACTAATGTGTCACGACGTTTTAAAGTATCATTCGCATGTTCTCAACAGATTTTATGCATGCTTTTTTAAAAAGAATGTGTTGACAGAGATATTCTCCCAAATAAGCTAAATAAAAAAAATAAATATCAATCCCGTTTATATATGTCGATTAATAACATTGAATAATATTAAAATGAGTTTCATTGAAATCATGAACTGATCCAAGTGAGACCACCATTAAAAACCGAGAAACACTGGATGACTATTTTTTCCCAGTATAAGACCTCTCGGATGTGCTCATCCGCGACCCCACACTCAGGAATCGAACCCGGAACCTTCAGCCTCGTGTGGTGATGCCTCACTTCTAGACTATTGAGTCATTATCCATCGGTTTAACATCTAAATTCAATCAATTCTCGTCGTAGTGGGATCATCTTCCAACGTCATCGGTGAGTAACTACCTCACACCCGACAAGGAAAAGCTCCACTGGTCGCGACCTCTCACTAGAACTCTGGAAATTTCCTATCAAAGCTAATTATTTCTGAGCACATCTTAACTGTCAGTAAGAGGAAGTGCCATACCAGGAAGAAATGGCCTTCTTGTGTTTCTACGTTTTCACTGGTAGTATTATTTAGATCAGATCATGATTTAAATGAAATTCAACAATATCCACAACCTCTTACTGACGATATTAAGACAAGTTCAAATACTGTAATCTTTACTTGATAATGTTATTAATCTTTGGCGATTGAATTTCATTATTTGATAATATGGAATTTCTTCGGACTTCATAATTCATGCTAAAAAATCTGTTGAAAATCCATCCATTTTAGGCACGTGAAAATAAGACATATAGTAATTACATTCATCGTTTCCAAAAATCAAGTTACGAAACGTAGTTATGTACCGAATGAAAAGAAATAAAATAGTTTTTGAAATAGTATTGTAGTGAATAGAACACGGGTGGGGAACAATCAAATGTAATTGACAAAAAACTACAGAACTTATTAATAAAATCTAACAATCATAAAGTAAATGAACAATTTGCAAAATGTCCATCAATTGCCTCAAAATGAATCAGATTTCATTGTTCTTTCATTTTCATACAAATTTCATTCTGTCTTCATTCTTTACTGTTCGATCTTCTTGTCTCTCTGCTGCCAGACATTCTGTTCAAGACTGACATCACATACTACTTATGTCTACATAAGTAGCATACACCACAGTATATGTGAAATGAAATCGAAATGCAATAATTTAGTGAAGAACCATGAATAATTAATGATAACTTCTAGTTTTACGGAAAATTTCACACTTATTCAGTTTAAAAATAACTTTATCAATTAGTAACTAGGCAAAACTAAACAACTATTTTTTCATACTTCGATAATATTCAATAATGAGCATTCATAATCTCTTACAAGATCAAACGGTGAAAATTTCTCTCAAAATGAAACAAATATTCTAGACAATTGTAAACTTTTAATAGTAAAAAATCAATTACGTTGATAAAGATTTCATTGTAAATTTAAAATGTATGGATATGTTTTCTAACACGGAATTAAATTTTGTAGACAGCAAACATAGACTGAACTAGGAAGTGTGAAAAAAAACAAGCAAAAGAGAAATAGTGTTTTGAATAGGTAAATCTACTACATAGACACAAGGGCTGTTCAATAATTAACAGTAATGAACTAATATTCTCAAAACTATAATATTGTCCAACAGTTCTGCACTGTAATAAACGTATTATTCTTTTTATTATCTCACAGCATATCAACTGAACATTTAGATGAAATTAAGATGTAATATATAGGTCATCAAAGATGATCAGTTTGTGTAGAAATCGTTTAATGAAATGCTAGACTTTAATTTATCACTATAAATAATTATCAGAAGGGGGTTTTGTGGAGAGTTTTAGTAATTTCAATTGTTGAGATCATGAGTCAATTGAAGCTAGTCCAGTGCTTCCAGGTTTTCCATAGTGGTTTAGCTTCAATTGACTCGTGATCTCAACATTGATAAATAAGCCAAATGTGATTGTGTTTCATTTCACTAATCTAATAAATACTGTTCAATTACAACAAGTGATCGTTTATGAAATCTACCAACTCTTATTACTGATTTTTTTGCAATTGATATTTATATGACAAAAATGAATTGTGAACAAAATCATTACCTTTTACAGGAATTTCGTCTACATAAACTGAATAATGTTAATATATTTAATTTTATATTTATCATTTAATTTATACCATTAGATGGAAGTAATACGACCAGTAAATAGAAATTTGAAAGACCCTAGTTCGACTGAAACAGCAAGACAGAAAATGAAACGAGTCGAGGTGAGTTATTGTATTATGCGATTACCTAATTTTTATCAGTGTGAATTCATAAAGCTTGAGAAAATAGTATATTCCATTGGGGATTTGAGTCTGTATCATTCAGAACATCAGTTGACAGTGTGATATTTCTACTTATACAGCTAGGCTAGTATTTACGCCAGAGATCAGTTTTGACAATTGTCTTGATGTCACCTTTATGATTAGAGATAATTTATGTAAGAAAACTACATTATTATGTTTCTTTATGGTAGGCATCATTACCAAGGTTTGACCTGATAATTTCAAATAAATTGAGCATTAGGTAGGTTGTTATAAATAAATTAATATATTTGTAATATCCCAATAAGTATAAAAATTAGATTTGCTGACGTTTCGTGACTTAGTGTAAGCCACTTCTTCAAAGAATGAATAATCAAATCAAAATTAATCCAAGTTTAAATAGTACAACGGAACAACAAGAATATTATGTGATCGGGTTTAGACTAGTATTTTGATTGATCACATAGTATTCTTGTTGTTCTGTTGCACTATTTAAACATGGATTAATTTTGATTTGATTATTCATTCTCTGAAGAAGTGACCTACACTGAGTCACGAAACATCAGAAAATCTAATTTTTCTACTTATTGAGATATTGCAAATACATTAATTAATTTTTTTATGATGGTTTTATCCAGCTAAATTTGAAACTATATGCAATCATTTTGATACCTGATAAACCATTTGAACATTCTTGTAATGAAATTCAATATTTTTTTCTAGTGCATTGTACTAAGTTAGTGATTTAAAATTTTGGGTTTTTAGTTCTGAAGACTAGTTAGATCAAAAAGATTTTAAAACTTTTGAACTTAATATTATACACTAAATGACCTGAAGTTAAAAGCATTATGACATTTTAATAACCCCTCTAATAGGAATCTCTTAATGAAACGACATCAAGAATATGATTCATTAGTATTTCAGATAATTAACACTTAAATGACTTAACTTTTCAATTTTTTTTAAAAAGTAGTCATTCTCAATTAAAAATTTGGAATCCAGTTGACACAAGTTAAATAGTTACATCTATATTTGTGTATCTTACATGTATTTTTCAACTTTATTTAAGTTCTTATTACATTTAAATACACTAGATTCATAATGACCAATTTTGATCAAGAATTGAAATTTACCTTTTTGTAAACTAAAGTGTAAATTTATAGATATAATTTTATTTATGTTATATACTGATATTTCTGATATACAAACTACTCATTCATTTTGTTCTTATTTGTTTTCTGATCTTCAAAACTTACTCATAAGCCATAATCGATCAAACAAACATTGTATATCTATCCAGTGGTCTAGTGGTTAAGCGATCGCGCGCGAGACTGATAGGTCCTGGGTTCGAATCTCGTGAGGCGGGATCGTGGATGCGCACTGCTGAGGAGTTCCATACTGGGACAAAACGGCTGTCCAATGCTTCCAGGCTTTCCATGGTGATCTAGCTTTAATTGACTCGTGAATCCAACTTCTAAACATAATTGCCTTAATACTCACCATTATAAAGTGATAAATCATATTCGAGGTATATTTAGACAGAATTTTTTGTTGACGTTCAAGACTTAAAACTTGAAAGAAAAATTGAATAGTCTTCTATTTTGTTAACATTGAGTAAACTGATAGTATTTTGATAAAAGTGCTTATGTTTTTTATGAACATTAAAATTAATTACTAATTTGGTTAGAATATATTCGATTAACTGGGAAATTACTGTTGTTTTTGTTATATCCCGATAAGAATAATGAATGGTAACTTTTGGGATCCATTTTATGGACCAATAATATGCGTGTATTTTTATCGTATAATTATTAAGTGACTAAACTATTCATATTTGTATTCATCCCATCATAAGCTTTATTTTGATCTATGTACAGTTATTATACGATTTATCATTTTTGAATTATGCTCTGTCTATCAATTACTATCTCCCTTAATCACAGCCACATTTGGCTAAATCTTGTACGAATGTTGTATCCTATTTTATGGTACGATGTGGTCTGTTTGGTCGGTATATAAACCCAGTATGTTTGAAATAAATGATTCATATTGCAGAGGCTGAGGTTGGTGTTATGGACTTAACAGGCATGGCTAGGCGGGAAGCAGGATCGATAAGGACTCTAGACTGCTCGTACGGGTTTTATACATCATTGGTCCGGTAGATAATTCACTGTTCTCTAACTGGCGGTATCATTACGTTATACCTTAACAGAGTACATAGGCCACAAGTTATAACAGTTTTTAGCGATATTCAAAAATCTCTTCGTTGGTATCTCAATTCAATAATAGTTCATAATTAATTTTTTTAAAGTGATTAAAGTCCAAATATTCTTGAGTTTCTAAGTTATTATTATTTTCTACTGTTTATATTAACTAAATACTGTATAAAGAGCTTATTAGATTATGTTGTTAGAAGTGTTATAATGTCAAATGGATAGTTAGAGTGATACACTGTTCCTAATCTTTTATATCCACAAACTTTTGGAAAATAACAAAATGTTTTGTAGTACAGAGTTCTATATGTATCATTATAAATCATAAAGTACAGTCGTGGGTACTGTTCAGTTAAGTTGATAGAAATAAATGAAAAAAAGCTATTCCGTTGCATTATAGACAATATTGAGCAACTCGGATCACATTTGTGTATATCCAGCTCAATAACAATAAAACGTACGTCATATGTTCCCTGAAAATGGGTACAATGGCTTTCCTACCATTGTTCTCAAGTCATTACATCTTTTATAATATTATTTTCGTTTTATTCTGACTCATTTTCAATTTTTTCTACTCATATATTTATTTTTGATGGTATATAATATCCCTATAAACTACGAACCTATTCCCGTTTTCTATGAAATACCACTCACTGGATGGAAAGTAATCTGACACTTTCCATAAAATTGTTCTCTAAAACTTCATTTTTCCCCTTAGACTAGGGTAGGGTTGTTCTGTTTTCTGGAAGACATAAAACTAACAAAACAGAACTATAGAGACACCAGGTGATATTATGGATGTCACTTTATTTCATGTCTTACTTCAATTCATGCACAACAGTACTAAATTTTGCACAGTACGCTAATATCTGAAGATATACTTATCCATAGTGCAGCTAATGAAGCAATATTATTAAATATGAATTCTTAGCGCTCAATAATAACAAAAAATTCATCAGTTACCTATGGTACATTTCCAATTTATAGCTAACACTTTTCCAAGATATGGACTACTTCATTTTAGGGATTGTAATAATCCATTTATTACGACAGTCTCTAATTTTTTTATTTACAATTTTTTACCATATAATATACCTATGTTTATATAGGAACGTTTAGAAGGTATTCTAGATTATGAGTTGCCAAGTGCAGATAATTTCAGAAATATGCGTCATTCATTAAGAGAAATTAATGATAAAATGTCAAAACATCGCTTTCTTCTGGATCGTCACAATTCAACAGACTTGGATGAAAATGATAAATCTAAGGTATCTGAAAGGATTAATGAAAAATATAAGGAATTAGAAGAGAGGTAAGTCGATACTAAACCTATATTTTCTTTAAATATATATTTCTTAAACAATAATCACCAAGTTAAAAACAAACAAAACGAAGGTCTTATAATTTTGCACCATGTAATACACCTTATATCGACAACTATCGAAAACCAGGAAGCATTGAATACCAATTTCACTCAAGTATGGAACTCTTTAAAAGTACTCATCCATTACCCCACAGATTCTCATGCTGAAAATTTTTATATACTTACTACTAACTAAGTTTAAGAGGTAATTCCTAGAGTTACGACGAAAGATTGTGGCCAGCGTAGCAGAATCATTTCCGCGGTGATACAAAAACCACCAGTTTAAACGGATGGGGATTAAACAATATTACGCACTGACTGGAGTTAGACGCGTGTATACTAGTCTAGAGGTTAGGTGATCGTTGAGATGCTTTAAAGCCCTGTCATATATTCCTGATGTAGTTGTGAATATGCGTCCCACAATTAAACGAAATAGTTTTCCAAAGCCCTCAAGTTTGCGAAAGTCTCCCAGCCACAGTCAGTTTATAGCATTTAACTAAAAAATTCCACAATTCCCTCAAATCCGTTCATGAAATATCAGTATGAAATAAAATAACTTAAAATAACAGTTAAGGTAGCTGATTGAAAATTTCATACAACTGGTTTCCTTTATGAATTTGAATAAAATCAGAACAGACATTGATACGGAATAATATGCATTCATTATATTTCGTGGTTCCTCATCAACTGCTCACAACCATATATGTATTGAATTGAAACATTAAAGTAAGATACAGCGTGAGACAATTGAAATAGATGAACGAAAAGAATTAGGATGACAAAGCATATGAATAATAACTATATATATATATATATATATATATATATATATTCAAGAACAGGTTAGAGGTCATTTGGAGTTGGAATTAAAAACATAAGAGGTGGGTGATGCATCAATCAAATGAAGAAATAGAAAATCTAATGGCTCGAAAAGATTAATTTTCCAAACACGCACATTATTTCAGAACACAATGAAAAAGTATGATTTTAAACAATACAAGTGGTCGTACAGTGCTATTGCCAAATAATAGATTACTCTGACGAAGTAAAATAATGTAAGTAACAGATATGCACTTCTATATTTGAAAGTCTTTCTACCATCATGATTGAGGAATTAATAAACCTCAATAAATATTGCAGTCTTCAAATAGTTCTCAGAAAGCTCATACGAATAACTATATATGAGTTAATATATAATGCTGCAACAAACATTCTGTGTAATTAAATATGTACAATTTATTACCAATACCGTCTAATGCAGACCTAATATTTAAGAAAGTCCAGGCTACTAAGCAAGAATATATTTCCAAAATATTATCATTTAAGGTTTTGCTTTATCATACCCAATTCAAAATAATAATCAAAACAATCTTACTCCGTGAATGCTTGAAATAAATATTCCTGGTTAGGTGATATGGTATGTTTTTTTCACTTGATATCTTAAAGAAATTCAAGGGCATTATACTATACATTTCTACTGTCTGATATGAAACTATTTACACTTGTTTTAGCCTAATAGTTTTGAACATTGAAATACCAACAAATAAACTATGTAGTATAATCTATTTCTGTAGCAAACAAGAACACAATTGATGGACAACTAAATGTATATTAACATACAATTATAGAATTACTTAGTAAAATGTGAAGACCATACAGTAAATACTGCATTTGCAAAATGTCAATCAATTGTTTCAGACTTAATCGTTCCATCATTTTCACATCGATCATTCTCTATTCTCGTTCTCTTCTTTTCGATCTTCACAACATTCTGCCTCCAGGCATTCCACTTTCGACTAGTGATTCATACTACTTATATCTGTCGACATCAGTAGCACACACCACATTTCCATTAGAAATTAACTCATTAGTGATTTAAAATGACATTTTCTTCGTATCTTTAAACAGTTGGCTGTTTATATTCAGAAACGATACGATAAAACTGTAACTACAATTATTTTGAGCTTATGTGTTTTGTTTTAATCCTGTTCTCACTGTAGAATGCCATGTTTGACCATGTCTGATAGAGCACGTGAAAAGGAAAAACGTACAACTCGTTTCGATCCCACTTTTATCCCGGTAAGTTTGATGTTACCACTTAGGTGGAGTTATTGATTTTTAAATAATATGCTGAAATGACATGACACTTGTTCTAATAGACAGATAAACACGGAAGAAAACCCAAAACCTCAACTAAATGAATAACAATGACAGAATCAATACTGAATTGGATAAATTATTCTTTAGGGAATCAAACTATCGTTCAACTAGTTTTATCCTTTGATTATTGTATGCATGATCAGATATTTACATCTGGAAACTTAACTTGAGAAGTGTAAAAACACTTATTGTTCCAATATTGTTTTCAATAATAAACGAAATTTTGCACTGCGGTTGCAGTAAAGAATTTTTTTAGAAAAAATCCTAGAATTGTAATAAAATTAATTGTTCAATACCCAACCTACATGGGGAATACATGAGATCCATCTTCAATACAATCAGTCATATGGAAAGCTTTAAGTAATTGGATTCCGTTTCAATAATTATGGGTGCTTATTTTAATGGTAATAATAGTTCTATGCAATGCTGTTGTTAGTACAACGTAGAATTCTCAACATGAAATATTGCAACATGTTCGTTCAATCTTCATATTCATGAACTAAATAAATTTATACAAAATTAGTTGAGATTCTTATATAAGAAAAGATCAATTAGTTATAACAATGAACAACAGGTATGGATATTTGAAAGTAAAAGTATTTTCAATTATTTCAATCCTTATTATGTTTTACGTCAGATAGAATCTATGTTAATTTCGATACTATAGAGCACTTGTATTTTTATTTAAATGAATGATTTCTAATGCAGATGAGTTGTACTTATCCGAATATCATACCATACCTTAAAACTATATGTCTTCCGAAAACAATTATAATGTTAAGAACACTAAATATTATTCTGTTTCTAAATAAAAGCTCCTTATCAGTTAGATTAATTTATCGAGTTATTGCTTGGAAACAAATGTTCTTGTTTCTTTATAACCTACTCTACTATTATGATATTTTGACTTACATTCATTTATATGCAGAAATTCTTATTGATGTTGTTTTATTTATGATTAATGGTCGAAAACAGTAAGAATAAAAATCGACAAACACTGATTTTTGTTGTTTCGTTAAAACTTATAGTTGTCTTTCAGACAAATAACCTCGTAATCTATATTATAAACTAATTAAGAAACAATCAATATGTAGTCGAGAAAATAATTTATTCAATTAATGTTCCAGCTGAAAATATCTTAATATTTCTCAATAAAAAAGAACTATTTTCTTGAAAAGATAAACGATGTAAACCGCTTCTGTCCAACTTTCTAACTAGGATTAGATACATTAAGAACTAGTGAGATTAGTTTATTCTTATAGATTGTGTTAGAGAACACTCAGGTTTAAATCAATGGCTTATAAGTATATATTAATCAACTTTGTACTTAAATGCGACATATACATTATTGCGGATGCAGAGCGCGTATTTGGTTGTTGACTCAGATTCCAGTTGTTCGATTTTGTATACTTCTTAGATAAATTCCGTTGTATCATCAAATACACTTGACAACGCTACACTAAAAGTTCGATATATGTTTTTGAGAATGATTTGTTTCAAATAGTTTAGCTCAACAAATTAAAGGCTGAAAATATAAAGATTGGAAGAAGTGTAAATATGTAAATGAAAAATTTATATGTACATAAAATAAAAATAACCTAAAGATCCTGTGCAATAATATGGTCATACAGATGTATGCATAGATAGTAGTGTATATAGATAGAAGTTTATAATTAATCATACAAATAAGTTCAAATAATTAGTAGCAACAAGACGATATATTTATTTGTCACATGAATGTCTTATCTCATACAACTTCAAGCATGGGTCTGTACTAACTTTTCATTTAAATTCATGTTATAATTGTGAGCTTAAGCAGAAATACTGTTCTCAATGTTTAATGTAGATAAACTGAGACTGCCATATTATAAATCAAAACGTAAATACTTAATGCTGTTTATTAAAATGATACGTTTAATCATTTTATTTTCTTTATTTTAAAATCTAGGGATATTCTACTGGTTTAAGTATTGTAAACTCGGAACAGAATGCTGAATTACGAGGTCGTATTAAATCATTACTGTTACGAACAAAGCGCAGTGGATAAATATCTACTCTTTCAGTGTTTCATTTTATCATGGTCATAACTATATAGGACTTCAATGAAATTGTAATATGAAATATTAATTAGATAACAATATACCTTTAATAAAGCTTGCTTTAAAATTATTTCTTGTTATGGTAATAAATCACATTATTGGAAGATTTCCTGTGCATATTATTGGTTAATGAAAAAGAAAAAACAGGATTTTAACCAAATAGTATGTATGAAATTAAAAATGATTTCATTAGTTACGTGAGATCTATGGTATAAACATACTCTGGATAAGATAAACAACAACTAACTACTCCAAATAAATAAATCAATAAAAAATATTTGATAGACACCCAGTTAAGAATTCTGTAAAGTTTAACATTACACTCAATCTTAAGAGATATCTCTTGAATACAATTTTTGTATTCTTGTTAAGAAAAGATGTAGTTAGACATTCAGTCAATAAAATATAGATAAGTGAGTACAATTGATATAGAAATATATCAAATATATTCTATAAAGTAATTGGTAGAATGGATTGTACGCATATAACCAATCGTGAATGTAGCTTGTATTTTAGATTAAGAAATGGAGATATACTTTAGATTATATAAAGTTTATCATTATCACATATAAGATGATGACCTCGTAGATAAAAAAAATTTGACAGAAAGATGAACATGCCGAAAATGAACATAGTTCACTAGAAACAATACTACTACATGTAGCATTTGCGGAATCAAATGAAGTCATTTTATCTTAAGGTTTCTCATCGGGACCAATCACAATAAGGCATTCCGCATAATTAACAAACAGCAAGCGTCACGCTGATTTCGTTTTGTAAAGGCCACTAGCATTAAACTACTCCGACCTAGTCTATGCGTGCGTACAGAAGAAAAGCGCGGTCAACCTTTCTTTATCATAATAAGTATAACAGCCATAGATAGTCTTGTTACATTCCCACACTTCGACCTTTCCATCGATATTCACTCATTAAGTTGATTACCGTTTTATTTATATCAATTGATGATGCATCCACTTATTCTTACCATGATTATGTAATCCCTCATTTTATTATAATTTTTAGTAACTAAATTCTTACCTCATCTATTCTAAGTAATTTACTTTTCTATATATTCAACCATCCCTTTAGACTTCACTTAATATATCTTGAACCTTTTACCTCTTATGATTTTCCGTCACACATCGAATCTTCAACTCAGCCTCATTAGCCAAAGTATGTCAAGCCATTGTTTATCATCATATTATTGTTTATGATATTATGTTGTTTACAGCTAATGAGAGGTCTTGAGGTAGGATGAATTCATTTTTTCCTGAGAATCCTGCCCGCTCTTTATACAGGAATACACCAGTTCATATATTATTCAGTAGCACAATAATTAAAAAGTGAGGATTACTGATGCCAGCCCAAATCAATATCATTATCAAAATAACAGTTATTATTGTTATTTGCGCATCCGAAATCTGTTTCTTGTAAAATACCATACTACCTTTTTTGGAGACATAAAAACTCTCCTGTATTGTAATGTCTTCGATGAACTGTTGTGCATTAGTCGTTGATTTATCTAGTCAAGTTACATTCAGTACTGCAATTTCTTTGTTCGTATGTCAGGCCCTAATAGTTACCAAAATACAGGGATAAAATGCGCTACAATGACCACCTAAATTAAAACAGCTAAGTTATAGTTGACAGACTGGGGATTATAGTCATAAACTCATTGGAGATGTACACCTATACTTGCCAACAAAAGTGTAGATTTAATATGACAGAACAGATAATCGGGAAAATATCCACATAGATGTACAGGATTTATTTTCCAGTGAATTTATTGCCAACATCCTGAAGAAAAAGACTGAACTACTTTTCAAAAGTATTCATAACTTCCTTATCATCAAGAGCTGAGTTTTCATACTTGGTTATCTATTTAAAATTGCGCATATTATTATGTGAAAAGAGAATTTATTTTTAAGCAAAGATGGATAGTGGCTAGCAATGGAATCCAGGACACGCGTTTCGTCCTATTTGGGACTCGTCAGCTGGATGTACCTGCTTGTAAATTAAGGCAATATCGAGGCAATACGCACAGTATGCACATATGCCAATAGGAGACTGATCAATTACAGTCCTAAACATCAATGGGAACATTCAAGTAAAACAATATCAAGAGAATTTATTTTTGTTTTTCATTTATAAAAAAACATTCTGAAACATGTCCAAATGAGTATTTAAAAATGAATGAATGTTTTGAAGTGATTTTAAATAAATTAAAAAGAAAATAATTGTAAATTGGTAATGTCAATCTATATGTTTCCTAATGTGCGAGCTATTGAAAACAAAGAAGGTACATGCAATATAGTAAACAAATATATTATTATTATTACTATTGTACATGATTGATCATATTCTAGAAAGTAATTCGCTTCGTATATACTGGACCTGAACTGTAACGTAATAAAACAGAGTCTTTGCTGCTGAAACAAAGAAATACTTATTGGAAAAAATAAATAGACTAGAATTTCATTATTGTGCATTATGGGAAAAAATTAATTCAATGATAAAAGGCCTCTGTGGTGCTTGTAATGGAGCAAATAAGGATAGTTCAAAATAGACAGAGAGAAAAAAAATGAGCAAGGGAAAAAGTGAAGGAAGCATATGAAAGTCTGATGCAATAAGCAAAACGTGCCTGAAAAAAAATTAAAAAAACAAGTAAATATTTACACAATTGAACTGGAAGACACTATTGAATGATGTAGAGAGGATATAGAAAACAGAAAATAGTATGCAATCAATTAATCTGCTTATTTCTTGACAAAAATAAATAAGAATATGATCATTACAATGCAGTGCAGTTGATATATCATTATTGATGTGATGATGGTGACAATCCAGTAGGAGACATTGATGAAGAACTAGACGGCGAAAGTGTGCCGAATCCACGCCATTTCCATGAAGAAAGTGGATGATTTTTAATTTTTTCTTTACGCTGTTGTTGTCGTTGTTCTGCTTTAATACGAGCTTTTTCCATTTTAGCTAATCTTTTTTGTTGGGCAAGTTCAGCTTTTTTAGCTTTAAAATTAGAAAATGATTTGAATATAGAAGGAATTTTATTAGAAGTATTTGATATTTCAGAGATTTTATTTGATGGTAAACGAGGTAATGTGGATACAGCATCAGAAAGTTGACTGTGTTTAATTGTATTACGATTGAGTGTTGCCTCTGAAGATGAACAAGAATCTGGTGAGTTTGAAACTCCTGGTAAAGTTGACTTTTCATCTAGTAAGAAAAATATTGAAAAAAAAATTTCCCGGTAAATATATATTTCATATAAGCAATTTCTGGTGAATGTGTACGTGTGCGCAATAAATCACTTGCAAATATTTCAAATTTATATAATTCACTTCAAAAACAAGAATTCGTTTGGATCTAAAGATGTTACATTATTAAGAAAAGTACCAATACTAAAACAAACCTAATTACAACTAGATTGGATTATTTTGACATCCATGATAGACTAATATATAATGATTATAGTTTAAAATTTTACAGTATTAATGACAGTGTTGACTGTCATGTGACTGATCCGAGAGCTAAAACATAAGGTTTTTAAAGATGTTAATTAATTGGGCTAATTAAAATAAAACGAAAAATTCACAAAAACTTCAGAGGCATCAGAGATATATTGGTAAACTGTGAGATCAACCTAAAAAAACGTTCTTGTATCCTTATTTAATGAAGTACTGAAATAAAGGACAGTATCGATTAATACAAATATCTAAACTAAATCTGATAAATAATTCACTAAGTAATTAATTAAAAATATAGAGAGTTTGATTAGTATTAAATGCGCTATTCTAGGTTTTATGAATTATGTACAGTAGAGCACTAACATTCTGCTCTAGTGTATAAGCATAGTGTACGTAGATAATATATTAAGAGTGAATGTATTTGTAAACAAGTGAATTTACCTGTGTGATAACCTAGTTAGCAGGTGATCTACTAGTACGTTATGGTCTTAATGCTAACAAATTATGGTTCAATAGGTGTATGTAATCTTAACAAATAAAAATGTATTCTGATATAAATTCGGAATGTGATGCTTGTATCAAACTGGTCAACAACAGGGTTTGATTCAAAATATTTTGAAAAAAAGACAACTGAATGGGAGCTTAAAACTTTGATGTATATTAAACCATAGAGATATATCTGTGATCTGTCATATATTGGCAAGAAAGAATAAAGCAAGAGGCTTGTGGAAAACTAAAGTTTTTGAAGATTAGTTTTAGTATTATAACCACATGAATACGTGATTTATTTAAGCAAAAATTAACAAACTTATGTAAAAGTTAGATCAATAAACCATTTATACATAAATGTAAGGTTGAAATACTAATGAGTAACTAGTTGCAGATTGGAACACATATAAGGGTTTTTAGTAATCCGGTGTCGAAACCCAGGACTGCAACTGATCAGTCTTTGTTGGCATGGTGTCATCCTGAGAAAAAACTTTTATATAACCTCTCTGTTACAAGTTCCAAAATACGTAGGTTGTGACTAGCGGTCGAATACAGGAATGCCAACGAAGAAATAGTATAAATCCTGAAGAACAAACTTCATACAAGTTAGTGATTAACTAAACTAAGTATTTCATTTGGGTTTGGAGCATTTAGTAAAACGTTTGAATTTCTATACAAAGTAGGTAAATCCAGCTAGCGTAACGCAAATAGGACGAGAAGTGCAGTCCGGATTCCACTATTAGTTACAATTCAAATATACTCAAATATGATTTCTAATAAATCATTTAATTAAAGATACCGGACATTTGAAGTTCATAGGGTATTTTTAAAGTATGTATTTCGGAAAAATTACAATTGAAACGAAGAATCCTTCCATGGAATGACTTCAGCAAAGTATCTTACAATATTACGACCTTCCTGTACTTATTAATTTAATGCACATAAATTCTGGTACAACTAGGCAATAAAAATAAATATTCCCCACACGAATAAGGAAATAAATTTTTGGAGCGACATAGAGAGGTGGAGGATGATTAAAAATAAATGAATAAAAATGGACGAAAGTAGTGTATACTGGGGGACTCTGAATATCTGGGATATCTGTTCCTGTCATCTCAATATTACAACAAGCTAACTGTGTTTGAGCATTTATGAAATTTTCACAACGTTTCGCTGTATAACTTAAAGAAAAATACAATCAGAGACATCGTGGTGGCTAGCGATATGCATTGAAAAGAATGAACATTGTTCAGATGTAGATACCTGAAGTGCTAACATCTAACTGGCGATCACTAATTGGCAAGGTTGACTATTTTCAATTCCTACTAAGTCCAAACATGTATCGTAATTGTAGTGGCCACAATTCAAGAATCCTGGTTAAATGATTTACAAAAAAACTTATCAGTATCACTACAAGATTTTAATAACTATCATTAGTATCGATCAAGAAAAGAAAATTCGCTGAAACACTGTGCTGAGAATCCTATGTTGTACCAAAAATATAATATTGAATAAAGTCATTAATAATAATAATAATAATAATAATAATAATAATAATAATAATAATAATAATAATAATAGTTTAGTTGAAAATACAACGGAGAAGCCTTTCAATTAAGAGAGTCCTAATCACATTTTATGAAAAACGTAAAAGAAAATTAAGGCAAGATTACCACTAGTTTTTGTTTTGAGTTATGTCTAATAACTTCTAAAGCCACTGAGGTGCACTGTATCAACCAGCGAGCCAAGATAGACCCACAGATCCTAGTCCTATACAGCTTTCTTTGATACCTCGGCACCATATAATAAAATGACCGCCTTTCTGCTTTATCCACCCGAGCCCCAAGTTGGCAAATAGAGATATAGAAATCTCTGAAATGAATCCGTACGACATGCCCGAGCTACTGAAACTGGTGTTTCAAGATGGTGACACCAGTTACATTGTGATTATTGAGCTTGAACGCAAATTGCCGAACCCCAGAATTACTAATGTGGTGTTATCGCTGAATGTCAGCAATCCTTTGAAGACAACGATTATCGAACACAGAAAGTCGTTGAACATACCCAACTCAGAGAGAACAGATTTTCCAAGTATATAGCATAACTGCTCCCAAAGATTGCTACGTTTAAAGAGATTACGATATCACCTATAACTGGCGAATGGAATTAAGGTCAGTAATACAACAGAACAAGCAAAACTATGACACTGATATCAGCCCTACTAACTAGAGGGAGAAGACCATATTCAGCCGAGGGAAATGTATATTTCACAAGCAGTCGGAAGCACGAACGAACAAGCACAATGCAAAAATGTTCTTGGAAAACTTCACAAAATAACGTACTAAAAGAGGAAACAAACCGATGACATTTAAGATCCTTCTAAGCAGGAAATACAAGCTGAAGGTGAAAGTGGACGCTTTTCGTCAGAAACTGAGAAATTCAAATTTTCAAAATAAAATTATAAAAATGAGACGTTTACCAAGTGATTTATGGGGACCTAGCATCTCCAACCACGACATGTTGTAAACCCGGAGTTTTACAACTAAACCAACATCACGACAACTTTAAAAATGGCCCAGATTGGTATAAATCACTCTAAATTTTAATTTCATCTCCAACGCCATTATCAAAACTCATACAGCGATCCAGATATACTGAATTTTCAACTACATCTAACGGATCGCTTCAGAGGTTGAGTACAAGTATATGTTCTTCTTGTATTTGAGATGGACGTTTCATTTGACGGTTAATAATACTACTACTAATATCCGGTTTTCCAAACTAGGTACGTGGGATAAGAACCTGAAACATATTTTGAAGTTGAATGGGTAACCAACTAAGCTACTATTAACCTAATAGAAAAGTTGTCTATATCAAGATACTTTAATGTTCATGCAAAGTACATACAAATCAAAGCTAATGTAACATACTAAGACCATCTAAATATCCTTTATGATATGTATTATATTTTACTTTTAGAAGTGGAAAAGAGATATCCTCTCTTTCTTCCAGTTCATGAGATATCTAAAATATTTTGAAACATGATCAATCTCTTTAAAGTTACGAATTAAAGATATGTGAAAGGAGAAAATAGATTTGCAAATCTGTGTGCATTCAACAAATTGGTCATAGGCGGTACAACATTTCCACACAAACGTATACACAAAGCTACGTGGATCTCACCGGACCACACCACAGAGAACCAGATAGATCACATTTGCATCAATAAAAAGTTCCGAAGGACAATGGAAGATGTGAAAACCAGGAGAGGAGCGGACATAGCTTCAGATCATCACCTGGTTGTGGCCAAATTGAAACTGAAGCTAAAGAAGAACTGGACAACTGGACAAACAGCACCACAAAGGTTCAATACAGCCTTCCTTCGAGATACTGACAAACTCAATGAATTCAAGGTAGCTCTAAACAACAGGTTCCAAGCCTTACAGGATCTACTGAAGGAAGAAGAAACTACTATGGAGGATAGCTGGAAAGGTATCAAAGAAACATTAACTTCAACGTGTGATGAGGATCTGGGCCCCAAGAAGCATCATCACAAGAAATGGATCTCTACAGAAACACTGGACAGGATCAAAGAAAGAAAGAACAAGAAGACAGCAATTAACAATAGTCGAACAAGAGCAGAGAAAGTCCAAGCACAAGCAGAGTACATAGAAGCAAACAAGAAAGTGAAGAAGAGCATTAGAGCTGATAAGCAAAAATACGTGGAAGAACTAGTAACTACGGCGGAAAAAGCTGCAAGAGAAGGAAATAAAAGACAGCTTTACGATACGACGAAGAAACTAGCAGGGAAATACAGTAAACCAGAGAGACCAGTCAAAGACAAAGAAGGAAGACCAATCACTGAGATTCAACAACAGCGGAACAGATGGGCAGAGTACTTCGAGGAACTCCTGAACAGGCCGGCTCCAATGAATCCACCGCACATCGAAGCAGCACACACAGATCTTCCTATAGATGTCAATCCACCAACGACAGAAGAAATCAGAATGACCGTCAGACAAATCAAGAGCGGGAAAGCAGCAGGACCTGACAATATACCAGCTGAAGCGTTGAAGTCAGACATCGAAGTAACTACAAGCATGCTTCATCTTCTATTCAAGAAGATTTGGGAGGAACAAGTGCCGATGGATTGGAAAGAAGGACACCTCATCAAGATTCCAAAGAAAGGAGATCTGAGCAAGTGTGAAAACTACAGAGGCATTACACTACTGTCAATACCGGGTAAAGTCTTCAACAGAG